CAATGATATCCCCTACACAAGTTGGAACATGAATGAACTCTTAACTCACATGCGTGGTGTTAGTAACAATAGGACTAAGCCCTACATGAGTAAGGAGGAGATTGACCAACATGTGGAGTGGAAGTTTATTTACTTTAGTTAGATCGAAAACAATGATCTAAACAAATCATGTACCACGTTGGCAATTTCATGTCGTAATTTGATATTTTCATGCACTAAATTGGCTCAGCTATTGGTCTTTTATCAAAATTGATTGCCTCAACTGAAACGTACAAATTCACGTAGATTGCGATCTAATAACATACTAAAGAACTCTTTATTTTATTATGAACATTGTAAATGAGTCGGGTCTGCAGTTAGGTTTGTCTTTCTGACTCGTTTCGTTATGAGTTGATATATAAGCATAATCCTAATTAATTAGGGTTAAGCAATAATATTTTTGAGCAGTCTTTGAGAGAGGATTGTTGCATCCAATTGTGGGGGGATTTGTGAGAGATCTAGATGTTTGGTTTTAGGGCTTTGAGTGATTTTGTAACCCTAGTTTGTATTCTCTTTCTCTCTAATAGTAAGACCCCCCTCCTTGCCCCGTGGACGTAGGCAACTTGCTGAACCACGTAAAATTCATTTTCTTATTGTGGTATTGTGTTTGACTTACTAATTGTGATTTATCTCGCTCTTGTTCGTGTGGTTTCGAGCTCCGCTGCGGACAACACAAATTTTGGGCTCGCTGGAACTCCAAAATGGCGTAAATAGGGGAGGCCGAGAGCTGAAATGGCTCAATGGATGAGGACGAGAGCGGGAGGAAGAGGAAAAAGCGCGAGGGATTTGGGATTTGGGTGTAAAACCCCGTATTTTTTTTGGTTATGTATATATATGTGAATTATTGTGATAAATAGCTTGAGGTCATAGATGTGCATGATAACAAGTTATTTGAGATGATATGAGTGTATGTATATAGAGTTTTGTGCGTTGGTTTTGCAAATGAGCAAAACATGCACGAAATAGGAAAACTGCCGGATCAGTTGACCGATCAGTTGACTGACGAGATCAGTCGACCGATCAGTCGACTGACGAGCTGTTTTCTAGTTTTTCCAGGTTTCGGGTCTGTTTTGATTGGTTCGGGTTTTGGGTCGGATTTGGCTGTTCATATATGATTTCCCCTACTCGAAAACACCCCCTCTCATCATCAGATATGAGAAACCCTAGCCCCCTCTCTCCTCTCTCAAACCCTAGGTTCGTTCTTGGCGATTTTGGGGCGTTTCAAAGGACTTTCAGCGGGTTCCGATCGTCGCAGCAAAGGGGAACCACTCTCGCAGATCCATGAGCTTTTCATCACCCCTGAGGTGAGTAACATCTCGCCCAACTCTATCCCTTTTGTTTTACACGAATTTATTGAGTTTTTATTGAGCCTAAAACGTATTTTTAGTACAAAGAATAAATCTTTATAGTATATGATGCGAAAGTTTGAGCTTTTCAGTTTATAAAAAGATCACAAACGTTTTATTAAAGAGATCTAGATCTGAAAACGTTTGACAAGAGATAATTCATGATTTATTGATTTCAAAACGTATCAAACATGTTTTTATATGTTTAAGGTTTTTAATAAATGTATCTTTCATTTCAGTTTAGTACATATATGTTAAAATCAGTATCTTTATGCTTGGGATTTATGATGATGATTTTATATAAATTTTATTGCAATAATCAAAACCTGCACAACAGGTTCTGCGTCGGTTCGGTCGACTGATCAGTCGACCGACGGGCTGGATTTTTTCCAACTATCAGTCGACCGATCAGTCGACTGACGGGCTGATTTTGTTTTCTGTTAGTTCCCTAGTCGACCGATCAGTCAACTGGCGAACTGATGTGGTTCTGGTTGATCTCCTCAGTCGACCAATGAGTCGACTAATGGCATCAGTCGACACATGAGTCGACTGATGAGGTGTTTTACAGATTCTTGGTCTATTTGAGTTGCTTTTCGGGGTCGCCTCGATTCTCTGACACTAGTTTACAATGTTAGTGAATTATCTGTACATGTGAGTTGACTTTTGACACAAGTACCGATCCGCACACCGAGGCACGTGTGACATGAGTCTATGTGTATCTTTTGTGAATATATATCATCGACACTTACACTTTGCAAAATTTATATTTAGTCCTCGTGTTGGACACTCATTCCTTTCAGTCCTCATGTTGGACATTCATTTCATTCGGTCCATGTGTTGGACATTGGTTATATTTGGTCCATGCGTTGGACATTGGTTATATTTGGTCCATGCGTTGGACATTGGTTATATTCAGTCCATGCGTTGGACATTGGTTATATTCAGTCCATGCGTTGGACACTCGTTACTTTCAGTCCATGTGTTGGACGTTTACTTCATGCAGTCCATGTGTTGGACATTTAATCTATATAGTCTATGTGTTGGACATTTAATCGTTTTCGGACATGACACTCATATGAGTTCGACATGACACTATGTTTGGAAGTAGAGATGGGTTTTGTTTTCTTTTAATTTATTTGTTCCTGTGTTAGATTCCGGGTTTGGTATTTAGGGATTTACAATTTGAGATACAAGGTATATACATGAGGATTTCCTTGTTTGGATTATTTCGCTTGACGTATCTATGCTCGTGTTGTAGTTCCTAAATACTAAAACCCTATATTTGTTAGGATCGATGATATTATATTATTATGTATTAACTGTATTTTCATATACAACGAGCTCTATCCCTTGGGGTTGGTTGTGATGTTACTCGCTAGCGCTTTGACGCTCGTTGTCCCTCCCCCTTTCAGGTAACGAGTCAGGAGCCGGAGAGTCGCAGGTTGATGGCGATGCACTATAGTGATCAACTGTCTAGTTTAGTTACATTTTATTTTGGTGCTCCACCGTAGATGTATTGTTTAGACTTGAGAGTATTTATTCTAGTGTTGTAAAGGTTGTGTGCCTTATTTCATATTATCAGACATTGTATATTTGATACTTGTTGAGATCTCTAGATTTGTTTAACTCAGATATGGACCTTTGTATTTCCGTTTACTGGATGATGAAGTATTGTTTTGATTTCTATCATTTCATCATTTATCTTTTGTTTTATCTTTTACTTGCTTGTACCTATACACCTGTTGTTGACTCTACTAGAGAGATAGTAATTGTGATGGTGAAACATGTTATTGCACGGTGTGGTGCATGGCAGGTTTGACATTCCTAGTTTCACCTCGGACTACAGCCTTGTGTGAACCTAGGGGCGTCACATTGGGGGCCGGAGTGAGAGAGGGAGTTGAGGAGAGGAAACCCTAGATTTTCCACTGAAATTCGTACATGAGAAATGAAGATCGGACTTGGAAATGGGGTACGGGTAGGAGTTTAGTGTTTTTAAATAGGTTTTTGTGAGATTTCAACCCGATTTCCACTCAAATTAAGTGGAAATTTATTTCTGTAAAACTGGACTATTTTTTGTACTTTACAGGGAAATTTTTCTGTAAAATTATTTTAATTTTTTTTAAAAATGTGAAAATCAAATACAATTTTTTTATTTGGAGAACTGCCACTGTCCACATGATATTTCTCAAAAGTTTTCTACAAAACACCCTAAGGGCATCTCCAACAACTTCTTTAAAATTTTCTCCAAAATGGGGAAGCAAAAGTCATATTCTTTAAATTATTTTTACACCAACTTCAACAGCAAGAATCCATTTTTTCCTCCAAAAATTTGGAAAATGTTGCAGATTTGGGGAAGCTTCCCCATTTTTTCTCCTCCATCCCTATTTTGGGGAATGAGATGATAATTCTGTTGCACCAAAAACCTAACTAAATATTTCAAAAGTAAGAAATGAAAAAGCTGTTGGAGATGCTCTAACCCCCCTCCCCGCTCTAACAACTTCGGTTGTTTGGCCCACATTTTTCAAGGAAAAAAAAAAGTCGGCTGATGCACGTGATGGACAGGTGAGTGGCGGACCCACCCCTCGTCGATCCTCACCGACATGAGTTCGCCAGATAACGGTACGTTTCTTGACCGTTGGGGAACCCCTCTCTAATTCAACAAACGTTGCATTTAGTCTATCCTTGTATAATCTGAGAAGGGATACTTGAATCCGGACCATGCGGTCACCGACGCTGTTTTTATTTTTTAATGAACTGGCATCATCTCCAAACAGTATAATCAACTAGTTCCATCTGAATCCGGGCTATAGGCCATTCCTTTCTGGAAAAAAAGGACAAATTTTCTTTTTCTAACCCCCGCTCCCCCACCAATTTTTTATTTTTTTTATTTTTTGAATTAAAGACGGGAGTGATCACCTTCGTAATTAAACGTAAGCCTGAGCCGCTGAGGGAGGATATCCAAGAGAGAGATGACGATGGGCGTCGACCAAAAGAGCGGCGAGCGTCTATCTCTTCATCAACATATCTAATAACGGTCCAGATCAAATCTGGACCCTCAAACACCGACCACCCCCTCTTCCATTGCTTGTATAAATCTCTCCTCTCTCTTCGATCGGGCTCCTCCCAGCGGAGGAAGCTCTCGCCAGATCCAAATTAATTACCCCAGAAACCAGAAGGAGAAAATAAAAAAGAAAGAAAGAAAGAAAGAAAGAAAACCCCCACCCCCCTC